TTTAATCAAAAGCAAATGATATATAAATTGTATTATAAGCAAACAAATTAAATAATATTAATTATTAACTTTATATATAATATGTAAAATTATAATTTTTAATTAAGATTGTTAAATATCTTAAACTTTTACTATAGAATTAATGCATTATACTAATTGATAAATTTTAAATTTATTTTATAGCATTTAAATAGTGCACTGTATTCACAAAATGAGGATATTAATTCATATACTCTGAATGATAACATTAATCTTGATGATTCTAAAAAATCAAATGATTCACATACTTTAACCTATAGATATTATAATCAAGAGACATTGTTTGTACAAAATGAAGATATTCCAGAATCTCAATTTACTTCTTTTATTCAACCCAAATCAAATAATGTAAATGTAATTCATTATTATATATTAAAAGTAATAAAAGCTAAGTTATTTATTAACTTTTTGTTGAATGATTAAGCCATTAGTTCTGATTATAAAAAACAAGAATATACTGCATTCTATTGAAAATGTCAAACCAAAAGAGTATGAAATAATAAATGCAAAATTAAATTAGATGTAAGTAAACTTTATATTAAAATAAAAACTTGAGTAGTTTCTTTTTTTATTGTTAATTATTTTTATTAGTCAAGTTTGCACGATAATGAAAATGTTCCACCACCAAGAAGAAGAAGAATTGAAAACCTGCCTTGAAAGAACTTTTTGAAGAACAAGGCATTAGCTGGAATCAGAAGAAATTTGTTAAAGAATGTCAGTCTCGAAATATTTGCCTTGATGATGATATTATTAATACAACCAAATTAATTAGCTGGTTTGATCATAAAAAAAAACAAAGCTAAATCTTTAGTATCAGTATTAAATTAAAGATTTAGCTATTTATTATTGAGCTAGATATTACAAATATGCAATGAATAGATATTATATATATGCATTAAGTAGTTTTTTAGTGCATATGTGAATAAATAATTTTTTATATAAATAAATAATGCATGCAATTTTACTATTTTATCCAAAGTATTATCAGTTTGAACTAATTTTGTTTGTACATTAATTAAAATAAAATAAATTAATAAAAATCTCAGTTATAAACCTTGTTATTTGTATATTTGCATATATATATATATATAATTGAAAAAATTTGATTGTAATTTATTTAAAACTAAAATTTGCATTTAAAATTTAAATTAGATAGCATTATAGCTATATAAATTTACTTCTT